TCAGTTCGGCACACGAATCAGACCCTGCAACAATACAAACCTCACTATCAAAAATAAAAGAGAGCCACAGAACTACGCCCAGAAATAAAGGTGGCGTTGAATGCAATTTTTTTTAAAACAAAATTGATATATAAATAATAAATTAGTATTTGTTATATTGATTAATTGATAGAAACATGTGAATTGATCGATATTAATTTTTATTAGATAGTTTATTTTTAATAAAAAATTGTTTAAAATTTTCTTAATTGTAGTAGTATTGTAGATAACAAAAAATATAACTTTTTTCTTTATAACTCACATCTAATCTAATAAAATAAATAAGATCAAACAAAAAGAATATTCATATCTTTAACATGAAAATATTTGCTTATACTTTATTATTGTTTATTTTTATGTTTTTTCAAAAGAAGATTTATTAAACTCGACGTGATTATAGGCGAAGGCTAAGGGTGTTTTTGTTTATAAATTATCTTAATTCATACGCGAATTCACTATCTTTAATATTATCAATATAAACGAATAACATCAATCAATCATTCTCACATATAATTCACCATCGATTCACTAACATAATTTTAACTACTTACCACTCCACATCATCTCTCTCAAACGTGTACATCAAATCAATTTTAATTATTTTATTTTAAATATTATTTTAATATAAACTCAAAATCTCATTAACAACTAAACATACTAACTTTTTTTTTAAATTAATTGTGATTAACTAAAAAGCCTCGTTTTGAGTGGACGTATTTGTATCCAAGCACGTCCTAACTATGCTTGGTTTTTTTTTAATCATCCTTATTAATTAAATTAGTTTTATATATTAGAATAATAAAATTAATTGATATCTATCTATATCTATATCTATATCTATATATATATAAAGAGGGAGTTGATGGAATTGATGTTACTAATGATAGCAGTAAATGCTTCTTTTGGAAATGGTATCAACAATATTTTTGGAAACAAATATATAATTAGTATGTTTGCCTTTTAGATTTAATAAATCGTTCATGATAATTAGTTAACAATTTAATATGTAATAAGTATTTTCTATGACTTGATTTTTAGAAATAAATTTATAATTAGTATGTCTGCCCTTTTGATTTACTAAATCATTCATGATAATTAGTTCTCAATTTAATATATAATAAGTATTTTCTGACTTAAAAGACGATATTAATTAATTACTGACATATTTAGTGATTGAATTAAATGATATAATACATATTAGTGCCTATGCATAGTATAAATATCATGAAAATTGGTGCCTACGCATAAAATAATTATTATGAGGCTTATGATTCAACCTGATTCAAATTTCAAGAAGTGCCTATGCATAATATAATTATTACGCCGTGCAGTATTATTCAGCCTGATTCAATTTTCAATTAGTGCCGCCTATGCGTAATATAATTATTATATTTGAAGTTTTTAAAATCTATTAAATTGAGAATTTCAAGTAAACATTCTATATAAAAATAATCATAAATTTTAGTTTCAATTTTTCTAAAAATAAAAAATCAATATAATTATGAGAATCATTCAGTATGAAAATGTAAAAAATAAAATTTAATATGACTTTTCACTATATATTTAATAATATATATATATACCATCTATATCTATATAATGGACCAATCCTTATTGCTATAATTGACATAATTTTAGGCGGGAAATTTTTTCGTCTATATTTGAAATTTAATTAAAATTTATTTATTAGCAAATCTTATGCATGAAAAACATGTTATTTTTTATACACTCAGTGACTACTACTCAATAACTACAAATTGTATTAAATTGAAATTTTGACCGTAGTTTTATTAGATATATTTTCAATAAGATATTATATTAATTTAATAGTAATTTATTGATACAATTCAAAAAACTATTATGGAAATTGATTTGATTAAATATATTATCATCTATGGTTGTAGAAACTAATTCAGTTAATTATATTTACTCAGAAGCACTTAAAATATATAATAAAATAATCAAAATAACTATGTTTAAATCACACTAACTTAATAAATAATTTAAAATATTAATAAAGGTTTATAAAATATAGTCAATTTAGTTATAAAAAGGTACATCCCTATTGAATACATTATATGCAGTGATAATACTATTAAAAATTTAAATAATATACTAATGCAGATAAAATTTGATTGTGGGGTGCAACTTAGAATTCTAAATTTCACATTTGAAATACCTATGCACAGTAAAAAAAAGCTATTTAATTTTTTAAAAATATATAAGTTTTCTTTTATACTATTTTAAAAATATCTATATCTATATCTATATCTATATCGTTATTTATATCTATATAATGGACCAATATTTATTATTATAATTGACATAGTTTTAGGCGGAAAAATATTTTCATTTATATTTAGCATATACTTAGCCTTTATCTATTAGCAAATTTTATACGTGAACATTAATTATTTTTTGTTTACTCATTGACTACTATTCATTAGTTATCAATTGAGTTAAATATAATATTGATTGATGACATATATTTTCAATAAGACCTAATATTAATTTCGTAGTAATTTTTAACACAATTAAAAACACTATTCAAAATTTGAAATATTGATTTGATTAACTATATTATTATCTCAGGGATGTAGATTTTAACTTTATTAAGTATAATAACCTACCAAAAGTACTTAAAATATCTAACAAATAATCAGAATAATTGTGTTTGAATCATATTAACTTAATGAATAATTCATAGTAATAACAAAATTTGCTAAAGTATAGTCAACATAACCATTAAAAAGTTGATGTTCATTGAATATATTATTTTATTAGATATACTATTGAAAATCAAATTTAATATATTAATAAAATTATTATTTGATGGTCGAGTGAAATTAAGAATTATAAACATTGGAAATATATGCATACATAAAAAAGAGATTAAGTTGTAAAAAGCATATTCTTATTATATACTATTTAATAAAGAAAAATGAGTAAATAGGATAATATATATAGTCAAATATCATAATTAAAAATCATAGCATTTGATAATAATTGAAATATATAATTTATCTAAACATTTAAATTAGATATTAATACACTCATTATATATGTTGAATATATTTAGTAAATATATATATATATATACGAAAAAATTTAAAATAAAAATAAATAGTTTACTATGAAAAATGTGTTGCATAAACGATTAAAGTTACTACAATTTAAATTTAATTATCAAACAATTATTATTTCATGCATCTAAAATTAGAATAACGTAAAATAAATTTTACGGTTAAAACATTAATTAGCTATCGAGCATATGCAAAATATGATTTGTTCAAAAAGTTATAAAATTAAGATAATCAGTAATTTTACAAGTATTTGTAAGCCATTAATTGTATACAAACATCATATTCAATATCTAGATATCGATACTATTTTATAAAATTATAAATCGTAAGATTTATATATTAAATAGTCAAAACCTGTAAAATAAATTATAAAAGATAGCCAAACAAAATTTATATTTATTACTGACTTGATATATTGAGTCTGGTACAATTATCATGTTGTATTAAATAAATTAACAATATTTTAATAATAAAATATTGATCTATAGTATACCCCGTGCATCGCACGGGTATCAACACTAGTTTAGTAAAGCCAGCAAAATATGTGATAAAATACAATGAAACTTTTTTATTTGTGTTGATTTATCCTTAGAATTATGACGTAGTGGTGACAAATGCTTGAGGTGTACAAGGTGACAAAAAAAAGAGGAGACTTAAAGGAGCAAAGGTCCAATGTATTTCAATTTTCAACTAAATCCTTGATGACCTATCAGATTTTTTTATACATCCGTTAGTGTGTGGAGAAATAATTGGAGAAATGAGACAATTTTTGTTTACTTTTTATTATTTTTTTCAGCCAGCACGTTTAAGTTAGCTTTTTACTCGAGTCAACTGGAAAGTAAAATTGACAAAAATAGTCAAAGAGACGCGTTATATATCAAAAGACGCACGTTTCGGCTCCCCTTGCCCAAACCAGAGTTGCAAACGAACTGAGTCGAGCGAGTATTGACTTTATCGAGCCAAAAAAATTTTAAGCTGCTCGATATCGACTCGATAATAAATTACAATCGCTCAAGCTCGACGCCAAATTAAAATGCTCGAGTTCAGTTCGAGTTCGGTTAAAAAAAAATTAAGAGAAAAAATAAAACCTCTCCCTATATATTATTTGAAAACGTGTTGAGCTTATTTGACAGATTCTCACACTTCGAATGCTGACATGGCAAAAATCTATGCTTCGTGATGTTGTTTTTATATTATTTTCGCTCTGGAGTTAAATTTGGTATTAGACAAATAACTTTACACATATATTCATTAACTCAACACTCATGTACAACATGGGTATTAGTACTAGTTATCATTAAGTACATATGATATACTAATGTAATATTATAAGGGGTATTTCTCGAGCCGCTTGACAATATAAAATATTGGCTTGTGCTCGAGCCGCTCGAGCTCGACTCAAGTTTGGTTAAACTCGAGCTCAAGTCGAGCTTTGACTCAAGCTGTGATGTTCTTATTCGACACAGCTCTTCGAAGATGTATTATACCAAAGGCAGTACTGATGCACAGACACTTAACACTTTTTACGGCATAAATTAACAGTAAACGAATTTCTCAAAAGTATCACCTCTAAAAAAAATCTGTGAAATTCGACTACATATAATATAAGTATGATCGATCATGAGAAAAGAGCAACATCATCAGAAGGGAGCATAAAATTTTCCCTATTCGTCAATCTTTAGCTCCATATCCCCCACCATCCGTGCACAGCTGTCACAATGAGCCACAACGAAAATTAAGAAATGACCAAAGAAACCTATAAAAGAAAATAACTCCAAAGAATATAATCTCACATTTTATAACCTCACCATGGTGTGTGTGTTTTACCAACCAAGACTTGATTCGAGGGAAATATAATTATATACATTTATGCAAAATTCAGTGCAACAATAGGTCCTCTTGCATCTGGAGTTCTTTGAGACGTTTTTTCGCATATAGAGTGACGATTACTGTGGTGACCACAGTAATGCAAAAGCCTATGACATTGAAAATAATCTGAAGAGCTGATAGTGAGTGCCGGTCATGTGAAGCATTGGCTAAAGTCTTGATGAGGACGCCACTACAATCAAACAACACATCACGAGTCAAGAAATTAGGCCTTCATGCCACAGACAGGGAGAGAGAGAGAGAGAGAGAGAGAGAGAGAGAGAGAGAGAGAGAGAGAGAGAGAGAGAGAGAGAGAGAGTACGTGTAAAGTGCAACAAAGATTTCTGGGATCATTCCTAATATAGTTCCCAACAGATAAGGGCCATACTTCACGTCCGTAGCCATAGCGCAATAGTTATACACAATATAAGGGAAAGGAGAAATCCTAATCAAAGTAACGGCACGAAATTGACTGAACCAATTTCCCTCACCGGCCAGTCGTATAATAGAAGCTTTCTTTGGATACCTTTCCAACCATGCCTACAGCAAGAAATATACAAAGTATGTTATTAACAGAAAATAAAAACCACACCAAGAGTGAAATCCGCAGAAGAAAGAAAGAAAAAAATGAACAAGACAGGTCATACATGAATTCTATGACAGAAAAGTGAACCAATGAAATATGGAATAGTGACGCCAATAGCCACGGCCCCAATAGTAAGCAGAAATCCATAACCATATCCAAAAGTCATCCCAGCAATCCACATGGACGGTGTAGAAGGTATAAGAAGGGAGGGGAATATTGCAAGAGAGCCAAATACGATGAGTGCCAGCATTGTTGTGCTGAAAGTCTTCCTTTCCCAAATTATAATGGGGATGATTTCCTGGGTTAAAGAACATACACATCACGCTTTGTTGAAAACTGACTATGGAATAAAAAAGTACGTACAGTACTTTTGTGTTTCCGAGTTGGCGATAGAAATTGTAACAGTGGAAATAAGTGAAGACACATTAATCTTGGCTTACATGCATAAACGTGGCGGATCAAATACAAATTAATAGATGGCAAAACTATGTATAGACACAGCCGGCATATCTACAACATATCAATCCAATACTTTAGATACGAGAAGTTACCCAATCATGGCGCAAACTAACAGGCTAATCCAAAAATAGATGGTGGAAAAAGAAAGTATATTACGAAAACAAAATAAGCTTCAGTACTCCCTATTAATTAGCACCGTGTTTGCTACAAAAAATTATCAGATACACTCATCATTAACCATAATCAACCACAGACAAAAAACAGAGCAAAACTATGAGATTCTAAAGTTCGTCAAGCCACATTACTCAGCACTGAACCCCCTCTCCCCCAACCCCCACCACCATCATACACAAAGAGGCGAGAGAGATTCAGAGAGAGCAATGCAGTTTCTTCCAATAATGTGAACAAGATATCACGTTCACCCATCACGTCAAATACACTCAGAATGCTGCAGAAACACCATAGAAGTGACTGTTTTATATTTATTCATCCCATGCGCATTAGAGAGGCAGTTTCAAAGGAAGGCTAATCCGACTCATTCAAGAGTAAAACACTGAGATCACAATTATAAGAATCAAGGCTCAAGTCACCAACAAATAAATTACAACCCTACCAACACAAAGGAGGAAAAAACAGAAGAAGAATAAGAAGATAAAGAAAGAAAAATCCTTGTGAGAAACAAGAACCAGTAGCATAACACCTAAAATGTATACATGAATGCAACATATCCCTGAATTTCACGAGGAAAAAAATCGAGCTTGCCTAATCTAGAAGAAAACTAACCTTATCCATGAAGAAAGGCCCAACCCACTTGAAGAAAGCCGCACCCAACACGGCAACAAACAGCACTACCAACACCAGCTTTGCCCACCACCACCAAGACCACCAACAACCTCGGCCACCGGCAACGACACCACCGCCACAACAACCCGACGATGATGACGCCTCCGCCTGACACTCCTCCAATTTCACGTAATCTCCCCCCGACACAACATCCTCACCAGCTGCCTTGTAAGTCATCACACGCCCAAATCGAAAAAACACGATCTTCCTGATCAATTAATCGAACCTAACTCCGCAATTACCCGGAGGATAATATTATAGTGGTAATTAACTAAAGGGGTTTCAGCTTTTTTGTCGTAACAGCTCAATATAGCCGTTGAAGAACTATTTTCCTCTTTTGTAATCTCTCTGTAAACACGCATTTATAATGCAGAACAGGCAAAGATCGAGTTAACGGAGATGGTGTTTTCCAGAAGGCGAGAACGTAACTTAGAAGAAAATCAGAGGGGAATTGATCTATGAAGCAATGGAAAAGAGGGATTTTACTCTAATTAATTGAAGACGATCCCAATTTCTCAAGGGAAACTCGAAGGGGGTAAGAGGACCTATTTCTTGAAACAAACGGGGGATATTTTCAAAGGAGAAGATTCGGGTTGGCAGAGCGGGTTAACCGGGAATCCACGGAGCAGAAACTGGACGTACAATACCGAATGCCAAGTGAACAACTATCTTTCCGCTAATACAAAGGAGGTGAGTTTGGAATTTCGAGTGACATTTGAAAACTTTTGAGTTTTGAGATTTTTTGGAGGTGGGATTTAGAGGGATATTTCGTATATCTATTTTTTTTTAAATCATATCAAATCTTAAGAAGTCTTAGGGCATGATTGTTTATAAAATATTTCATCAAAAATATTTTATTTTGGTTAACTATGGTTAAAGTTGAAAAAGTAGTGTGGTTAAGTGGATTTAAAAAATATATTAAAATAATATTTAAAATAAAATGATTAAAATTGATTTGATATAATAAATGATAGGAAATGATTGGTAGTTAAAATTATGTGAGTGGATGAATATTGAATTAAAGTTGATGTGATGTGTAATAATGATTGGTTTGTATTATTTAATTATATGAATAATATTAAAGATAGTGAGGTTGAGTTATAATTGAGTTAGATTTTGAGTTGAAATTTTTTGAGGTGGAGTATTTGTAAACAATCACCGCCTTAACAACTTATAGTATTAAATAAATTAAATATCTTAGGATTTTGTAAGACTTATTAAATAAATGAATACCTCAAAACTTTTTATAAGTCGTGATAAATTAAATACACCATGAACATTCCCATGCGATCGTAATTTATTGAAATTCGATAGAGATTATTGTTACTTTTTTATCCCTATTCAACCAAAAAATTTCCAATTCAAATTCAGGACCTTCCGGTGCGCACGTGCGTCCCTACGGTTGATCACTCTGCCCCACTGCGGAGGAGACGGGCTATGAGGCAACCGTCGACTTCTCTGGTGCATTACCGATCTCCCTCCGATATGCCGATACTCACTCTTATGGATGGTCGCTCCAGTTCGATCTCCCTCCCTGTCGTCATGCTGGTTTCCTTGGGGTTGGGCCGACGAACTTCTTCCAGTGGGGGCATTCTTTTTTGTCTGGAGATTGTCGCGATTGCGGGAGTATGTGTGTGTGTGTATGGGGGGAGGGGGAGGTTATGTTTTGGGCTCTGGTTACTCCTGGAGTGACCTCTTTGGAAGAGGGATCTAGTTTGAGGTGTGGTGGTTCCTTGTTAGCCATTGTCTTCTCATGCAGTTGGAGTTTCGGGTTTTGCCTTTGGCCCGTGGTCCTGTCTTTCATGTGTGGAGAAGTTGTCGGCTGTTGAGGAGTCTTAAATTTAAGTATTTAGTGTGTTTTGTCTATGTTTTTGTTTTGCTTCGTGTTTTTTGTTCTTCATTTTTTGAGTTAACATTCTCTACGTGTAGGAACACATATTATTACTTTGTAGTTTGTGGGTGTTAGTTTAATAGTTTTCAAGCGACAACATTCTCGCCGTGTTGGTCTTTTTCTGAATATGTTTTATTAATGAATTTATCGTTCCAACAAAGAAAAAAAAAACCATAAATTTTAGATGGGCCAACTTGCCAATTTATTGTCTACAAATAAAATCCAAGTAGTGAAGATAATTTTTTCAAATTTTTTAATTAGTTGTTATGTACTTCGGCCGCAATAAACACTCCAAAACATGGGCTTTTTTAGATCAAGTCCAAGCACGAAATATGGGCTGAGATGCGAGCCCAGGTAAAACACCATATACCCAAGTTGATAAAAATGCGAGTCCATTACCCCTAAATGCATTCCTTCCCAAAGCATTAGCAACCACTCCCGGCGACGAAGATGACGGCGTCGTCGGCGATGCGTCGGAAAAGGATTCGGACACTCTCATCCATTATCATCTCCTCCCAAACTTGGCTGAAGCTAAACTTGATCGTCAAAGTTCACACAAATGCCAGTTTTTCCCCGTCCGAGTTTCCATGTCTGAGCTCCGGTACCCGGGAGATGCACATGTAAGCCTCAAAGAGCTGTTCTCATTTCCGATCTTCAACTGAACGACCCGAATCAGATGTGTGCCGACCCGTCTCCAGGTTCAATCAAAAGCTCCGATTCTATTAAAAAAAAAATTGTGATGTAGATGTTGTTCCTCTTAAGAAGCATTTAAACTGCTAATGTACGGAATGTACGTTTATGTTAGCTAAAAGAACAGAATAGTAATATTTGATATGGATTGAATTTTAGGTGTCTCTTGTACTGATCACTAATATTGTATGTTTTGAGGACTGTTCTGTTGTTCTCGTATCATACTTATATTATTTGTATCGATTGCTTTTCGGAGAGAATGTTTTATTTGAATCTGTTGTTAGATTGAGAGTTGATTTGCAATAATATATTCGATCGAACGATTGGCATAGTTGATTCGAGCTAAGAACTAATCCTAAATGAACGGGCGATGGGAATATGTAGTTGCGAAATGAAGTTCCATACTGGTTAATTGCAGATGTGTTTCATTTTATAGTTAATTTATGAAGGAGAAGGTATTTCATTTTGTAAGGTGTATAATACTTATTAAAAAGCAACTTAGAAGCAAGAAAGTTCACCAGGATTGAATGTGATGTTTCCAATGCATTGTGTTAATATATAGTTTATGAATATGTACAATTCTTTAGTTTCGTTCGGTTTCCTTTCTTGAATGAATCGATTCTGCAATTTTATGTTCGACAATGCATATTATTTGTTGTGCTGTAAATTTTCATGTGTTTGTGGACTTTGTTTCAGGTCATCTTCTAGCATCAGTGGGAATGGATCTTGCATCTAGAATGTATCGAGCATAGGTCCAAAGCAATCATGTGTATCACCATGCAGCCATTAAAAATGTGAAATGCTCAGAACACGGATTGTCTTAGCTCTCTTGGGGTTATGATTGCACATCAAGGTTAGTTGATGTTGAAAAGGGAATGGGGGGTTGTGTGTCCTATTTTTGATGCTATATATATATATATATATATATATATATATTTTTTGCTAGTTATTTCCTCCGATTTTAGGTTTTTTCTTAAGAATTCCGGTCCACGTTGTTGGTTTATATAGGTTTTCTGTTTTCTGGTTTTGTTCCATTTGTTTTGCCTTTCTGTGTTTTTCTTTATTTGTGGTTGAATTTGTGGTTGAAGGTGAACAAGTGGTCAAGTCAAGCTATTAACAACTAAGCCAACGTCTTGCTGGAAGGCCATGGAAGACACGGCCTTCCCTGCGCGGATGGCCCATAGAAAAAATAAAAAATAAATAAAAAAAAATTCATGGCCCATAGGAAAAAAAAGCCCCTGCTCACTCACCTTGTTCGCCTCCCGTTTCCCAAAAATGTTATAGTACAACCATTGTATTTGTGGCGACATCCTTAATGAACCCATTAGACGGGCCACTCCAATTGAACAATTAAAGGATCGACAAGGTGAGATCTCGGTCCAATGCTGATTGACGTCGAGATTTGAAGATTTGCTTATTGTTTCGAAACCGAAGACCTTCTTCATGACATGGTCGATCACCAAGTCTTCCATGCAATTGACATGTAATGTCCACTAGCATGCACCTGCTAAAGAACTCCAAGGTCATACTCCTGGCAGATGGACGAGGTCGGTGTATTCTACACGTTGAGTACCTCCATGTACATTTCGACATCGTCCAATATCACCAAGTCATCCAACAAGTCCCAACACTCTAGGCCTCGACATTTCTTTCTTTGAGAGTTTGAGAGGCGGAGATAAATGTCACCCTAGCCCTTCTCGATATACTCGAGGAAGGACGGTGATATTTATTCCGCCTCTCAGAGAAAGAAATGGCGAGGCCCTGGCGTTTGATTGAGACTTTGGATGATGTCGTAAAGTACCTCGGGGTACTCAACAAGTATGAATGCACAGACATAGTCGTCCGAAATACAGGCAGGAATGCATTTCATGCCGATTGCACGGAAAAGACGTGGTGACCACAAGACGTCACGAAGAAGTTTTCGGCTTTAAAACAACCGATATGAGAAGGAAACCTTCAGATTGCTCTAAGCCAATGTGGGTATCCAGCCTTTGGGCATGTCTTCTCCGCAATTGTCAGACATTTTGGTATCAGCCAAAGATCACCAATCTCGATCCAACTGAAGGCACACCTGTGCGGAGGATCGATTTGTCTGAGCTCATGCAGACCTTATCCTTAATCGATCACCATCCGGGATTACAAGACACGGCTGACCTATATTGCATATCACAAAAAGCTCAATAAGGCCGTTGGTCAAGCTAGAACATCTCGGAAAAATGTGGCTCGGTTATTCATAGACCAAAAATCGGGGAAATAACTAACAAGCAAACAAAGAAACAACAACAAAAATAGGACAAACAGATGTTATGATCTTCAAGGAGAACTAAATTGTAGAAGTTGTAAAATTTTGTGTGGTAAACTAGGGGATATTAGGACAGACATGGTGGTCTATGAATGTGTAAGGAATCTTGGTCATCCTTGACGTAGAGTTCATGGTTGAGGCAAATATCTAATCATCTCCAGAGATGTTTCACTTCAAGTTCTGTTATCCAGTCGGGTAGAATTTTTGGTGTTCTGGCATGCAGTACTATGCTTCTTACTCAGTTACTTAGTGATCAGTAGGTGCCCTCATTTCTATTTATATAAGTTGAGGGTA